CTTTTACTAAAGTTCAAGGCCTAGATTATTTTGTTTATTTTATTCTTCATTAAAGTGCACCTCTGCCTCAAACTAGAAGCTAAATGCCAAAATTCTATGCATGTCTCTTCTCAAAGTGTTTCCAGAAAGATGGGAAACAGGAAGTACTGACAATCCTGTGAGAAACTCTGTCTTTGGATTTCTAACTCAATTTGTATAGATTTAAGTGCAGTTTCATAAACTGTTGTTCTGTGAAACACTAATCCTAAAAGCTGCATCTTAATAAAAACTGTTTATTTAATCTAGGCTTCCTAAAAACATAACAAAGAATGTTCTTATTTTGCCATGTGTGTGTGTGTATACACACATATGTGTACTTATATATATAAATTATATATACTTTATGTACATATATAAATATGAATATAATTACTAAATACATGTGTATATACTATATGTATACACTAAATACATTCTAGAAAACAGTGCACTAGAGTTTAATCAACCTTTAGGTTTTGTATTATATACTTACACTAAGTTGAACTTGTTGTTGAAGACTGTCATCAGGGAAAATCTGACTATTTTGTCTACTTAATTTTAGGATCTTCAGTGTTGTTTTTTAGATAAATCTCATTATATAGAGGTCTCTGTGCCTAGCTGAGGTGGCCTCTCCCAACTGACCTGGATAGGAAAAATGTTAAAAAATCAATAAAAGACTTCAAGAATATGAATAGAACATTAAATTTAAAAATAAATTTAATGAGAGAGGTATTAAGGCAGAGTGTTACTTTAGAAAATCTCAGTACAGATTTTAAAAACTGGCTTGGAAAATAAATTTTGTTTTTATACATGGTGAAGATAAACAGGGAAAGATGAACAGATACTGTGAAAGAGAAGTACCAGTATAACCAGATGGAAAACAGCAAATATCAAGGAGATGTTGAGGTGATGCCTTGGTTCCTGGTATAATATGATTGAGTGGAAATAGAGATTACATTATATTAAATATGAAAGATGAGAATAGGTAGTCTCATTGTCACAGCAGTGGGATGTCATGAGTAGATTTCTAACAAGTTAGAAGTCATTTTTTAAAAATCCTGGTTCTGACACTTAACAATCTGCATAATTTTGAACAAGATACTTTGACTCTTCCCTATCTATAAGTATTTGTAACATCTATTCAGTCTATATCACTATATTGCTTTAAGACTCAAAGGAGATAAGGGCTTTTAAAATGTCACACAACTCTAATGGTACATTACAAGAATGTGATGATAAGTAGAGATAATATATAGATTTTTCTGGCAGGCAAGTTTTGGATTCAAGCCGTTTTGGAAGTAATGACAAGAAAGGGCTGAATTCCAAAATAGATAATAACCAGTAGATGAGAAGAATCAAAGAAAAGAGAACAGTCAAATGTGAGAAGACAAAAAAGAAAAAAAAGGTTGAGTGTTGTCAAATAAATGAAAAGATCAAAGAGATCAGTCTTGTCTGAAGAAGTCTAAAAAGTTATAATTAATGTGAAGGATGTCTCTAATAAATAAAGTTAACAGAAAATTAGTGAAGTACAAACATTATTTTAAAAAGCTCCAAGTGAAAAAATGAGATGGAAAAATGACTGGAAGAGATAATTAACTGGTAAGACCTGCCATTTAGGAAACTATGTAAAATATTTCAATTTGCATCTGGTGACTGTGCATATTAGTTGGATTTCCAAATCCTGTGAAATGTCTGTGATGTAAAGCAGGCTTCTTACTTCCATGAGCAGTTTCTTCTTCACTTTACATGAACATCTATTCTAAGTTGACAGGTTATACTGTTGTCCTTTGATACCTGGTAGTCATGAAAATTAATGTTCTTTCCAACATGCTAATGTATATTTCTTTTATTCAGAAAATGTAGGCTTTTTTCCACAAGCCAGTGTCCAGATTGGTTCCTTTGGCACCAGGACTTCTCTGTTCAACTTTCCTTCTCAGTTCTTACCAAATTATCCTGAAAAACGAAACAAAACAATAAACAAACAAAAACAACCTAACTCCTTTACTGACACCCCAAATGGTAGCCATCTCTAAGTATGTGTCTTCTTGAACTAAGAATACATCAAAAGTAAAAAAAAAAAAAAAAAGATGCAAAAATATTTTAAAATGTATTATATTTAAAACAGATAGTTGCTGTTTTTTCACTGGAGGTTTTCTCTCTAAAAATAAATCCTTAGTGTAAGGCATCATTTTATATTTTACGTAACTATTGGCACTCAGCAGCTAATAAGTACAAATTATAACTATAACATTATATTTTTTAAACCTTAATGTTACCTGCTGAAATGAAAAGGCCAGTGCTCATCGTATTTCAGGGACAAAATGGTAATTTAGAATTTTTATCTTGTGTTATATGACTACAGCTTTCAAGTTTTTGTATATACATGACTATCATTTTAAAAATTAACGCTTAGTTTTCATGATAGTTTACAGTAATGCCTGTGAATTTAAAAGATCCTTTTCATATAACTCTAAATTATGGACATTGTGCATCTGATCATGCCCAGGAGTAGCAACAAAAATAAGTTAAAAGTAAACTGAAAATGAGCTAAGGCACTGGTTGTGTCTTATTCTTGAATCTGAAGGCCAAAAATTAATAGGCACAGAGAAGACTTCCTCTGACATCCACAGCAAGTACACTAATCACATAACAAGTAGGTAGGATGAAACTAATTGAAACAATAGAGAAGTTATTTTTTGTTTTTGTTGTACCATAGACTTCTCCAACAGCAACAAGTTATTGGCATAGGAAAAAAAATACTAAAAGATGATGAATCATACCTACTCCTTAGAGATCTCCTCTTTTATCTTACTCTAATTTCCTTGCCTAAATTTTTCATTTTCAGATTTTTTTAACAACAACAAAACATAAGTGACCATTGCAGTTTCCCCATATCACTGTACCTAAGACCTATTCCAAATGGACTCGCTTTGTGTCAGTACAGGGCAGGGCATCTTCCTTTCTTGTTGTCCAACAGAATGAAGAAAATTCAAAACTTCTTGCAAATGTCACAGAGATACTTCTAAAAGGTCTCAATGTGAAATGTTCATCTGCGAAGCTGAGCAAACTACTAAAGATGTAAATTAGGAGGGTCTTCCATATAGAAGCATCCAGGTATTTTCCAGGCTTGACTTCATAGGCAATTTTCCTGCATATTCTGTTTTCTTTCTTGTTTAAGCAACAAAAATAAATTCTATCAGAATTTTGGAGGCTAAAAATCTCAGAACAAGGTGTTTTCAGGACCAGGTTTCTTTTGAAGGCGATAGGGAAGGCTCTGTTCCAGACCTCTGTCCTACCGGTGGTTCCTTGGCTTGTGGGAACATAACGCCAGTCTTTTCATGGCATTCTCCCTGTGTGTATGCCTTTCTCTATCCAAAGCTTCCCTTTTACAAGAACATGCTCATACTGGATTAGGGGCCCACCTTACTCCAGCATGACCTCATCCTAACTAATTACATCTGTAACAACCCTGTTTCCAAATAAGGTCATTTTCTGGGAGTCCTGGAGGTTACATTTCAACATATGAATTTATTCTTAAAGAGGGGGCCATAATTCAACCTCTAATATCCACTTAGAATAGTATCTGGCCCTTAAGCAACTGCATAAAAAGAGAGTGGTATTGTGACTGGTATTACTGACACCATCAGTACTGTCTACCATGCTCTGCATTATTTATTCCATCCACAAGGACATCCCTTAAGGTATCTCTTAGGAAGGCATAGCTCCTACCACATGGAATTTTTTTCATTCCCCAATGGTCTTTTCTGCCTTTGAAACCTCGGATTCGCACTTCTTAATCTGTGTTAAAGAAAATTATATATTACAACTTGTCCCCAAGTACATGGCATTGGAAAATTTGGCTCTTCAAACATACTCTATTTTATTATATAAGTATTGAATTTAAAACACTCCCTAACGTCTCTTTTTTAAAAGCGTATAGGAAAGATTCAGTACTATATTTCTCCAAGGTAAATTAAGTGCCCATTCTGGTATGTTGTATTTGAATAGCACCTTATAAACTAAGGACTGGTTGAACCTTCTGAAAACAGAACTGAGAAAACAGAATAAGCATTTCCTCTGAGAAATACTAGTATATTAGACACTCTATAAAATGTAAATGCTTCTTATTTCCAGTCAGTTGCTAGGATTCAAGACTGCTTCTGCATTCTCTATCATTTTAAATGTGCAACATATAAAGGGACTATACTTTAAAGAGTTTAGAGAGATTGAAGATTCTCAGCAGAAAATTGCAACACTCTTTTGTAAGGCCATGCCACCAACCTTATAGAGTTTTTGTTTTTTCCATTTATACAGTGATTTGGGAATTTGTAGTGTTATTAAACCTAATCCTGAAGCTTGAGTTGAGAAACAAAGTAAACTTGTGATTATGATACAGGACTAGGCATCAAAAATCCCAGGAATTAATTGTGACTTTATATAGGTTACTTTCTGGTTTTGTGGTTTCTGCATCAGTAGACTGTTCTTGATCCCACAGAACTATTGTGAAATTCAATCAATGTTAATGTTTTGAGGATTCCAAATGAGTGAAGCAAAGTAAATAAAAGTGTATTTTTCCAACTTTTTCCGAACTATTCTTTTTCTTATCGGTCCCAGTTTCTTAGTGAAAGTTATACTATAACTTCTCCAGACTATAACTATTTGGGTCTAAGTCAGCTACCATGAGTATAAGATATACCCAAGAAAATAAATTAAAATTAGGAAGCAAACAATACTCTGATGATATTTGGTTTAAAATTTCATTTGACATGTTATATATGTAATTCCTATTTTCCTAAATATTTATGTGTGCGTATATATATGTATCATATAATATATATATGCCTGAGTCTCTCACTTAAAATATTTTTACAGTGAAATGGCTAATTTAAATTTTAAATCTTAAACTCAGGAGCTAGCTGAATTATAAGGAGGTTCTTTTGAATAGCATATTTAAAACTAAATCTTATTTTCCTTCCTTGTAGTTTACTAGAACATAAGATCTTAGAAATGGAGGGAAAGCACAAGGAAGAGTTGGACACCTTAAAGGAAGAGAAAGAGAACCTTCAAAGCTTGGTTACTCGTCAGGCATATATAATCCAGGAGCTGGAGAAACAACTAAGCAGAGCTACCACCAATAACAGTGTCCTGCAGAAACAGCAGCTGGAGCTGATGGACACAGTTCACAACCTTGTCAACCTTTGCACTAAAGAAGGTGGTAAGACTTTTTTTCTCCCTTTGGTACCGTAAATCTTTTATTTCATATGCACAAGTAGATAATCAATACTACATTCTACATTGCATTGATTGCTATGTTAAAAAAAAAGAACAGCAGAGCTTTGTTTTTAGAAGCATTCATAGGGTTTTATTGAACATTTTTTCATGTTTCTAACTTCAAAGAATATATTCATAAGCTTAAGTTTGTGAATTCACAATTTCTTTCTAAAAAGAGCTAATTATTTCTTTCTTTGTCTTTTTTGCCTTAGAAAAAAATGTATGATATGATCATGGATGAATATTTGGTATTATAGTGTTAGACACTTAACTATATATGACAGAATATAGCCAATGTTAAGATCAGTTCATAGAGCTAGGGAGAGTTTCAGGTGAATTATCATCTTAAGACTAATAAGCCTTATTTTCTTTTGGAGAAAGCAGGGTAGAAAAGTGTTGCTTGCAGAGAAAAGGAAATAGGCTATTCCCAACTATTATGAGTGAGAAAGGTTCATTGTTATTAAAAGTATTTATTAAGATCAGTTGTGCTTAGTCCTGTGCAGAAAGATACCAGACACTTTCATTATTTAATTCCAGTATGTCATTGTGACAGTAGATATTTTACATTTTTTATATCATTAAAATTTCTGCAACCATTTAACATTGGAAATATCTTCAAGCTTGTATTTCTTTAGAAGACATCTATCTGTCTATCCCTTCTTCCACTCACCAATTAGTGAATGAGTGCCTTTGTGTGCACCTGTCCACTTCAAGCAGGACTTCTCTTGAGCCTCAGTACTCTTTAAAGTGTAGAGATTGGGGTCGTATTCTGTATTTCTACTCTCTAATCATCCTTTTTCTAAATTAAGGTGGAATTTTCAGTGGTGATGTGTGAAAGAGAATGCCACTTATATCAGAAAGCTGTTGTCGTCCTTGAGCTGTGCCTTATGCGACCATCTATGAAATTGTTCAGTGTGCATATGAAGAGGCTCCTTTCACTTAATAATTAATTGAGTCATATGAAAACTCAGCTCAATATCATGCTTTTTGTAGGAATATGATTAGAAAAGATAACTCCATATTAAGTAATCTTGTCTAAAGACATTTCACATTTCTCTTTTTATACTCCATTACCTTGAGTTATATCTTCTTTAGATAACCTAAACAAACCTAATATACTTTTTAAAGTAATAATTTTTAAATAGTGAGTTCCCAGAGCTCCATTTGGGTGTGCTCAGTAATGTGATTGGGAAGGAAAAAACCTGCTAATCAGTCAGAGCCTGCCAAAACCTTGAGTTAGAGTCCACTGGAAGGAAAACATGGTAAGATTTTGCCAGAGAATTTTAATAGAACTCATGAGTATTTAAAAATTAAGTATTAATATGAGACGTATCTATTCTCATATTAAGCTGAATACATTTTGGGAAAGATTGAAAACACATTTTTCTTATCATCCTAAGACTTAAAGTACATAGAGTTGAGTAGTTTTTTTTCCTGATTTTAGAGATGTCAAGCCCTGGTGATTCTCACAGTGCTCATATGTCTGCGTACTTATCATAATTTAACTTCTTTCCTAAGTATTTGTCTGATAAATATATCTTGAAGCCCTTCGAAGAAGAGAGTGTGACTTTAAAATGAAATTTCCTGGCTAGATTTGACGTTTGGGTGCAAACATCTGTTCTATTTAAGAAATATTTATTACAAAGTTATGATGGCAGCCATAATAAACGCTATCCTTAATATTCACTCAGGAAGTGAGAAAAATAACTGTGTCTATTCTATGATCTAACATATCAAAAATACAGTAATAATGACCACGGAGACTGAATTTGTCTGATATGTCAGGCCTCTAGATATCTCTTTGTGTTTTAATGACACAATTTTAAAATAAATTCCAATTTAACTATAGGATTTGGAATCCTGATGCAAGGGAATTACCCAGTTTCCCTATGGTTACTGTGCTCTCATAATCATAGATTTTATTTGCTTCTTGTTAATCTTTTATTTTCTTTAATCTCACAGTTAAGTATTCTAACTAAATAGTTATTTTAGGACTCAAAAGCAACACCAAAATTAAAAGTATTTTTCATAAGATTACTATCAAGATTGTAATTTTTTTTTTTTTTTTAATTTGAGTTGGAGTCTCACTCTGTCATGCAGACTGGAGTGCAGCGACCAGTGCAACCTCGACCTGTTGGGCTCTGGCTATCCTTCTGCCTCACCCTTCCAAGTAGCTAGAACTACAGGCGCGTGCTACCACGCCTGGCTAATTTTTTGATTTATTGTAGAGATGAGGTCTCGCCAAGTTGCCCAGACGGGTCTGGAACCTGCGGGCTCAGGCAATCCACTCACCTCAGCCTCGCAAAGCACGGGATTACAGGCTGAGCCACCGGACCCGGCAAGATTTTAATCTTGTGTATAACTTTATTTTCTCTAAAACCATTTCCTTCAGTTACTGTGAATTTAAAGTTCTAAATGGCTAGTAGCATAATACTGTATTAAATATTAGTTGCTAAAATAAAATATCATTTTATCCTAGTTTTAAATTGCATAAGTGAAATATTTTTCTTTTTTGACAAAAAATTTATTTATCATATGAATTTATTATTTATCAAGGGATTATCTATAAATATTTTGCTTTTAAATACATATATAGACAATATTTAAAAATAAATACACCACAATAATTGCATCAAATTTTCTAGGATGCATGTTTTAAAAGCATAAACAGAGATCTTCCTCAAGATCTTCAAAAACATCATAAGCCGCGTCATAATCTAAAAAAGTAAAAAATGCTAATTGACCCAAAGGTCCCCAGGTTTCAATCCAACTCAGTCGTTTGTGGAAAGAGCCTGAATATAATAACATTGCAAGGTAAGAGAAAAAATTTGTAGTGAGTTGTCTTTGTATTGGCAACTAATTTAACCTTTATGAAGCTGTTTTATCATTTATAAATCAGAAGACTTGTAACCACCATAGGAAAAAATTAAACATCAATATACAAGCATAGAACACAGTGCTGAGGGCACAGTTGACTAACTAAATTTTAGTTCCCTGTTTCTTCTCCAAGGGACAAGATTCAATTTAACATATTTATTAAGTGCTATGTCTAAGCAAAACTTATTTTGCAGAAAATGCCTGAACACAATGCCCTAGAGTGTTTGGTTGTTGACTCTCATCCAAGCAGTTTTTTAAAAACTTATCCTCCATTTTCTTATATCTAAAATGGGATAATAATAGTTATCAAATAGGTATGTAGTGCACTATAAATATATACAACTTTAATTTCTGAAAATTGCCAAAAGAGAGAACTGCAAATGTTCTCACCACAAAGAGAGAGATAATAAATATGTAAACTAGCCTGATTTGATTATTTGACAATGTATGCACATATCAAAACATCACATTTCACCTCATAAATATGCATAATTATTATATGTCAATAAAAATAAGATTAAAATTTTAGAAAGAAATACAGGACCTGTAATAAATAAATACATAGGCACATGAATAAATGTATTAATGAATTTCAAAAAAATTAAAAGAGGCTTGTGTAAAGTAATAGCAGCTGTGTTTATACATAGTAAATGCTCACAAATTGTAGTTGTTTTAATTTAATTCCTTTTAAAGTACTAATAATGCATTAGAGTTATATGATAAAGAACTCCTAAGAAATGTTGGCTTAAAAATGTATTATTTCCCCAAACATTTATTTGGTCCAGAAACTGTAAATCTATCTTTGCAAATAGGGAGTGTTTTTGTTTAGTTTCACAGCATTTTTTTCTACTAAAATATTTGATGTGGTGAGATACATTTAAGCTAAGTACAACTAATACACACATTGTCTAAAATAATTCATCAAATCTTCCTCATCTTGTTCCAAATAGACAATAGTGGTGTCTTAGGCAAATAGTCATTTCAAACTGAATTGCATCCATTTTTAAGACTTCAGGGTAACACATTTATTTTTGTCTAACCTTTGTCTACAAAAATTTGGTCACATTTATTCTTAGAAACATTCTCCACTGAAGAAATATTGCCCTCAGTGTTATCACTGTGTCAAAGCTGAGCTGATTGCTTCATGTTTTTGGCAATTGAAAGCTGCTAAAATTAAATTATTGCTGGAATTAAATAGTATACATTGACAATGGCAAAGAAACAAGGTTTGGAACTCTTTGGGAAAGAATAATCAGGTATTATGACTATCAAACCTTCATTAGCCATCTGTGTAAAATGGTGACTAAACGTTATCACATATTGAACATTGAACACACATGGGGTGAACATCATAATATGTAATTGAGAATTTAAACATTGACAAAGCAGGCAAAGAGGAAGAAGATAAAATACAAAACTGAAACAGTATTAGGCTGTACCATAAAGTTACACAGGCTGACTGTCTTATACTGTTCAAATCAACTTGGAGCAAAGTTTTACTACACCAAGATGTGATTTATAAGCTTATACACTCATTCAAAACATAGTTTTGCAACAACTGTTTTGTTTCAATCTCTCTTCTAGGGGATAAGGATGTTTATTCATTTTTATTTGACAAATATTTGTTAAGTTCCTATGCTGTGCCAGATATTGTTTAGAGACCACTAAGAACAAGAAAAGATGTATTTCAGTCTGTGACTTCAAGGAACCCCGAGTTTGTTAGGGAGACACAAAGGTAAAGAAACAATTATTTCCTATAATTGCTTGCTAGAGGTGAGCTCAGGAAAGCACCCAAAAAGGAATACTAAAATCACGGCAGAGACAGAAGGATAAGGGCAGAATTCAGCATCGGTAAAATCTTCTTGAGAATTTTATTGCACATTGAATATGACTCCAACTTGCTTAAGCTTTATGTGTGTTAACCTAATTCTCACGACAACAGTATGAGGGCACTACTGTCTTGCACCACTGTATGACCTTCAAAGAGAACTTGAGAATTTTACTAAGGTTACATAGCTGGACAATGTTTATCTAGAATTAAAACATAGACAAGTTAGTAGTAATGGG